ATTCAGGAGCTATGAGAGCAGATAACTCCAACAAGAGTGCGTGAGTAGGTGACAGAGATAAGGGGATCAAATGCACAAATGAAGTGTATATCCCTAGTTGGGAACCCTATTTACTCTTTTTAAAAATATAGAAATTCAGGTCTGGGAGAGTTGATAGTTTTGTTGGTAGAAGTGGTGTGTATTCTCTTGTGATAGCTTTTATTTTCCTTTCAGAAATGAAATCCTAACCTGAAAGGGAGAAGGGTAATAATGTGAGATTTGAGGAGACAGAAGTTTTAAAATAGTCATTGAGGAGGTTAGGGCAGTGAACCGGCTGGATAAGCACAGGGATTTTGCTAGACAACATCAAGGACCAACTTGATGCTAGTGTTCATCCATTTTAATTAAAACTAGTCAACATAGTTTTATATTTATACACACATGTTTAGCTATTTAGGTGAATATATGAAATAGACAGAGAGGTAAAGTCAGGGTTTCATCAGTTATAATACCATAGAAGGTGTGGGTCACCAGAGAAATGAGGTAGCATATAAGGGAACTATTAAAGAGATAATCCAATCAATATAAACCAGATAAAGAGAGAATTGAGGTCATGGGGATATAAGGACCAATAAGAATTTAGTAGAATCAATGCATTAAATATGTTGATGGGTTTAACTAATTATTTGCTATTGTAGTACTAGAGTGAATGAATTGGAAATATAGAAGGTATTAAAAGTATCATCTACAAGGAGATTGTAATCACCAGGAAATAAAACTTCAGTAATATTTTAAAAAGAAAAATAGTAAGTTAGTTGCTAACTCATTGAGAAATATGAAGTAAGTGAAGTTTGTGAATGACTACAGGAAGTAATGGGTGATATTGTTTAGTATTATGAACTTCAAGTAAGTGGAAATGTTTTAGAGAAATTGGAAAACAGTAGGAAGCTAAAAGAGGAACAAGGAGAAGACACATCATAACTTGAACAATACTAGCCTTCAGAGTTGCAAAGAAAAGAATTCACAATCAGAAGGGCTGAAGGGGAAGCAATCATTTCTAGAAGAGGTTGGTTGTTACTGCACTGAGCAATGAGAGGAATGAAACATCAGTGAGGAAATTACTGAGAGAGGAGATTTTAGTCATCAGAGATTAGGAGCTACAGATGACTACTGGGAGAGTTAAACTGGGAAAAGATATGAGATTAAGTCTATACAAAACACACAATGAGGATGAGTGCATAGGTGACGAAACATGAGGATAAGCAATGACCTGGGATTCTTGGTCTTTTTGTAAATATGGGAATTATTGAAGTAGTTTTGTTAATCTCTTAGGCAATTTGTGTTGGTGTGTAGGGGGAAGGTCTGTGAAATGAAGTGAGGGTGGAGTGTCCACAGCATACAAAATCTGTAGGTCCCTGATTCAGAAAACCATTAGTGATGTTAAGTCAACATTCTAGCATTGATACTGGCAGGATAGTTGCTGTTTTCAGGTGCCATCGAGTCGGTTCGGAGTCATAGCGACTTAGGTACAAAAGAATGAAACACTGCCCGGTCCTGCACC